ATCCGTTTGACAACGATATGGTTTTCTGTTTCTCGTTTTACTGTTTCTTGTTTATTGTTTCTAATTTTTAAAAAGAAATAGAAACAAAAATATGTTTGATAATTGTTCCTTGTTTTTGTTTTCATCTTTTAGTTTTTTTAATAACACTTTGTGGGTTTGAGATTGGAACGTATGACCTATTGATCAATGATATATATCTTAATTTAATTTGACGTAATTTTATTTTTAATTAAAAATAATATTTTTTTAGAACATAGTTAAAAAAAATTTTAGTACAACATAGAACATAGTCAAAATAAAATTGAGTAGATGTAATATAAAAATATATAATATATGCTCGAAGAATATAATTCATTAAAGAAAAATACAATTTACAATATAAATTTATTTGATATAAGAGTGTACGTTATTAGTTTTAAATAAAGAATAAATTTTTAAATTATTTTTATTTAATAAATAGAAAATATTTTTTTACATAAAAGACAAATATATTAACCTAAGAATGAATGTTCAAATTTTTGTAATTTAATAAATAGACAACAAATTTGTTGTTTTAAAAAATACTAGAACCTAAATAAATAATAAATTTCAAATTAAATTTTAATTTAATAAATATAAAATTTTCAAATTATTTTCAATTTAATAAATAGAAAATATTTTTTTTTGTTTCGAAAAATATTATAACTTAAATAATGAATAAATTTCAAATTATTTTTAATTTAATAAATAAGAAAAACAATTCCTTGGGCGAGAGAAGCGACATAATTTAAAGGGTTAGTGAGTGCCAACAGACCAACCAATGTACAATGTATATTATTTACACTAAACACGCTCCTGAATAAGAAAATTAAAAAAGAAAAAAGACAAACGGTAAAAACGAAACTACGTTTTAAAATTTCTAAAATTTGACTCGTTTTTTGGAAACGTTTCTTAAAATTTAGAAATAAGAAACAAGATGTATAACCAAACAAATATGTTTCTAAAAAAAAATGAGAAACAGGAAACAGGAAACAGGAAACATAAACATTATTAAACGAACCCTGTTTTTTTTTTTCAGAGATCTGTAAGACTTAATTTAGTCTTTTAAAAATATTACAGTTTGTTCGATCTATCAAAATATAATATATTTGCGATCGAGTGTTTTTATACTGTATTTGTATTTGAATTTGATTTAAATTGGATGGCGAAACTCAACTAATTGAAAGTATATATCATAAATTAAAATATGTTGGAATCTCTAACCCGATAAGTTGTTAAATTAAAAAGTAAAATTTTGAAACCATGATATTTCTCGTAAAATTGCAAACTTTCTTTTCATTTTTAAATATATATTTATTTTATACTATTTATATAAATGTCTCACATATTAAGTATGCGACAATAAATATAATTTACAATTCATTTACTTAATTACAAAATTTTTAAAAACTTTAAACACGGAGTATACACGGTAGAAAAGTTTATTGACAATGTTGGGCGGCTCGAAAGGCCACACCTCACAGCCCATACATCAAGTGACAACCATGTCGGTTGCGCCCTCTTTAAAAGACCGCATCCCTTATACAGCCTATACTAAGCGTAGCTATGATGGTCGCACTCCCACTTGGAAGGTTACGCCTTTGTGCGGTCCATATCACCCATACATGTGAAACTTAATGAATGTAAGTCGAAATTCCCTACACGATTATCGTGAGAATTCGACACACACACTCACTCGCAATCAAAATCTCACTCCGATATAATTGCTTATTCACTCTACTTGCTTCAGACTCATTTGTTCTCATATATTGAATTTCAACTTAAGCACCATAGTGCATTGGCATAATGCCACACGACGTTAAATTTTTGTGTGTAAGTGTTCCATAACTAGGAGACAACGACTTATGTGGCACTTGCCCATAAATAGACATCAACAATTTTAATTTGGTCATTATGATTTGTTTTAAACGAGCTTATATAGTCTGAGTTTACTTTAAATTCATCCATTCACCTATTAAAAAATTTCAATTATGTTTAATCAAAATTCATAAATTATTATTACTATAATATATGACGTAAGTTTGTAAGCGGATAAATTGATAAAAGATATATGTATATATAATATATTTTTGAAAAATAGTTGATAAAAGATAATTGATAGACAATGAAAGAAAAAGTTTACTTACAC